TAGCTATGACAAGCACTGACCCAACCTTGCTGTCAGCACCCTGACATCCCCGAATCCCATTCACCTGCACCCCGGAACCTGACAGCTGGGAGGCAGGAGAACCATTCTTTGCATAAATCTGCCATTGGTCAGCTTGCTGTCCGCACCCTGACAGCCCAGAATCCTGTTCACCCGCAACCTGGACCCTGACAGCAGGTATTAACAGGATCTGCAGAAGGAGAGGTTGTTCTGATTCTAAGAATTTATTTGTCCCTGTCTGACACTGGCCTCCCATTTAAATTAATTAGTTTCCCGTGATGACAATAAATCACAAGGACAAACTTTAGACAGAGTAGGAATATTCCTACCTGAACCCGTTTTCAGACATGGTCAGTTATATGTTGCTTTCTCTTGAGTTCAAAGAGCATGTGACGTTAAAGTTGTAAATACTTCATCACAAAGGAAATTAGTCAAGCACTCTGAAAGTGTTTTTACTCTAAATGTGGTATACAGAGAGATATTGGAATAAGTTTAATCATTTATCTGTCATTGTTTGTATCAATGTTGTTTTTATATCATCTTTTTGTTTTTATATCATGTTTTTTATAGTTTTTATATGTTTTTGTTGTTTTCATATCATGTCTTTGTTGTTGTTATATCATGTTGTTATTGTTTATTTATTAATAAATTTAAATATTATTTTCATATACATTTTACTAATTTTCTTTAATCTCTGACACTTCTATTATAGAGAAAGGGCAAATAGTGATATTAAAATATTTCTTCTAATTAATTCCCTTTCAATGTGCACAAATTTGTGTACCAGGCCACTAGTCTAAACTAGTATATATAAAAGGCTAATATGCTAAATGCCCAACCGGTCACTATAACACACACTGACCACCAGGGGGCAGACGCTCAACACAGGAGCTGCCGTGATGCATACTGGCCATTTACAGAGAAACGGCACTGAGGACCTGGAGCCCACAAACCAACACTTGGCTTCCCCCAAGTGGGACATAGGCCCTGCCATCACCCCAGAGCGACACCCCACCAAATCGCAGACGACTCTCCCAAAACCCCATGGTGCAAAATGCAGCCCACAGCCCAGCCTGGAAACGGTTGCTGTGGGCGCCAGGTAATGACTTCATGTAGCAGCGCCCGGCTTCCTCTCCCTAGCGACTAGCCTCCTTGGAGTTTCTTCAGACCAGGAACAGGACTTGCTTCATAGCCAGGTGGAAACATTTTACACTTTAACCAAATGTCTGTTAAGCTTTTTCCTGTGCCTCATCTCATTTGATCTTCACAGAAGTCCTGGAGAAGGTAGATAAAAGACTCAGTGGAATCCTATTTTCTTTTCATTAGCTGGAAAACAGAGCTTTAAAAAGCTTAGAAACTTGACCCGACTAAAAAGAAGGAATGGTGGACCTTGAAAATGACTTCAGGTTTTCTCACTGTGCAGAATATAGTCAAACACTGCTGCAGTTAAATATTTTCCCTGTATGATCTACAATAATAATCTGCTTCGTGTTGATATTTACTGCTGTGTTGCTGACAATTACCTGAAAGAGAAGTTGGGGTGCTTCACTGGGCTGGAAAACGTTTAGCTAAATCAGAAATCGGGTCTGATTAAGCAAGTTTATTACATATATATATATATATGTATTATATATATATATGGCTAAGTTGATTCGTGCATGTGCATTACATGTAAAGCTCTCACTGGCGCCAATCACGTGTGTATTTTCATCTGTCATTGTCAATCATAATTTGCTTGACAGTTCTATTATAGAGAAAGGGCGAATAGCGATATTAAAATATTTCTTCTAATTAATTTCCTTTCAATGTGCACGGATTCGTGCACCAGGCCACTAGTGCAGCCATGAAAAAGAAGGAACTCTTATCTTTTGTAACAGTATGGATGGACCTGGAGATTACTGTGAAATAAGCCAGTCAGAGAAAGACAAATACCATAAGATCTCACTTATATGTGGAATATAATGAACAAAATAAACTGATGAACAAATAGAAACAGAGGGCATGGATACATGGAACAGACTGTGCACCTGTCAGACAGGAGGAGGTTGGGGGGACTGGATGAAAGAAGTTAAAGACATTAGCCAGAAAACATATATGCATAACCCACAGACACAGAAAGCAATGTGGTGATAGCCAGAGGAGAAGCAGAGACAGGGGTTGGGTGGAGGTGGGCAAAGGAGGGGAAAATCGGGACATCTCTAATAGTGTTGTCAACAATTAAGCTAAAAAAAACTAACTTTAAAAAAAACAGATGCCCTTGAAATTGTTTTAATCAGATTTTGTTTTTGAAATAACGCTCAGTACTTCTTATAAGAAACCCCAAAGGAAAAATTTACTACCAAGGAAAGTTTTGCTTTCTTTGAGAGATATTCACCTGTCTTTCTCTTAGATAATATTATGTAAATGATTACATACTCTTTTCACTGTGACAGCCAGAAAGCTTAGAGCCATATCTGAAGCTCTTGGGCCCTTACTGCCTGCACATTTGTGTTTTCTTCCCCTGCCTCTCATGATTGTGTTCTACTGGTCTATGTATTTTCTGAATCACTTCTTTATTCTTATTAGTATTTTAGAATTATTGTTTTTGTAGTATTGTCCTTTAAAGCTAATTCAGTCATTTATGGAATAAGATACAATCTAACTAACCAAACAAAAATACACAGCATAAACACAACAGCCTCGTAATGAATCATGCAGATGCAGTCCTAGCATGCCACCGAAAATCACTCTTTTGCTGTAAACCTAGTCAGATGGGGCAAGAAAACCAGATGGCACAGGAAACCTCTCTATGCAAAGAAAGAGCAGCTGAAGAGCATGGAAGGCCCTTCCTGAATGAGCAGAGCACAGTTAGGGCAGCCAGTGCCAGCAGCAGCAGAGAACTAGAAAGTGTCAAGCTCTGGGAAGTTATGGGCTGGATCGAGACTAGAGGGAAGCCAACTATATTCCCTGAAATACTATTAGAAAATAATTGAACTTACTACAAATATTTTTTCAAAACTACAGAAGTGTATTTATAATTCCTCCTTTTAAAAAATAACTAAAATTAAAGATAATTTTGAAAGGACTGGAGACTTCTGCTTTCAATCAAGATGAAGTAACAGGAACTGAACTTATCCTCCTGCCTAAAGCAACCCTCTCCTTCCAACAAACAAAAAAGAGAAAAATATGGAAGACACTGGTTAATGAAACTGGTTAATCAATCAAACAAGGAGAGTGATTGTTTAAAAAAGTGTTTAGGCCACAATATAATGAAGGAAAATCCAGGCTGAGCCCAGCAAAGACCTTGAGTTGAAGAAACAGAGCTGAGCCCTGGCCAGTGTGCCTAAGGGGTTAGAACATCGGCCTGTGCACCTAAAGATTTCAGGTTTGATCCCCAGGCAGGGGCGTGCGAGAGGTCACCAATCAATGGATATGTCTCTCTCACATCAATGTCTCTCTCTCTCTCTCTCCCCCTCCCTCCCTCCTTCCTTCCCTCTCTTCCTTCCACTCTCTCTAAAGAAATTATCAATGGAAAAAATATCCTCAGATGAGGATAACAAAAACAACAACAAAAAAAGAGACAGAGCTGTGAGTCTAGAAAGAACAAGACAAATAGAGGTTCTTATATTATATGTGAAGTGCTAAATATTAGTTGAAGGTAGACTATAAGTTAAAGAGTTGCATATGGGTATTCACTGCAATTCATGTGAAATAGCCAAATACTGAAGCAAACTCAGTCTATCAACACATGAATGGATAAGCAAACTGGTATATATTTATACAATAAGATCTAATAATAGAAAGAAATGACATGTTCATACATACAACAAAAAAAAAGAATCTTAAGCCCGGCCAGCATGGTTCAGTGGTTGAGCATCGACCTATGAACCAGGAGGTCATGGTTCAATTCCTGGTCCGGGCACATGCCTGGCTTGAGGGCTCAATCCTCAGTGTTGGGTGTGCAGGAGGCAGCCGATAGATAGTTCTCTCATTATTGATGTTTCTATCTCTCTCTCCCTCTCCCTTCCTCTCTGAAATCAATTAAAAAAATATTTTAAAATCTTTTAAAAATTATACTGAGAGAAAAAAACTAGACAACTGCACATATGGTATTACATTTATATAAAACTCTGTAAGACACAAATTAATGTACAGAGTCAAAAAAACAGATTGATGGTTGCCTGGTGGTGATGTGGAAAAGACAGATTACAAAGGGCACAAAGAAACTTGAGAATGATAGATTGCAGTGATGGTTTTTACATATGTAAAACTTAAAAAATTATACACATTAAAATATGTGCAATTTATTGTATATAAACTATTCCTCAATAAATCTGTTTAAAAAACAATTCTGGACTTAAATAAGGTTAAAGACCAGAAATATTTAGATTACCTATAGTGCTCTGGCTCCGCAGAGTAAAAATAAAAAAGATGAAAGCTAGAATAAAATATCTATAGTTTTTAAGGGTTAGAATAGATTAGAGAAACTAACTACTCAAATACTTTCTTATTAGAAATAAAAGAAGTCCCAGAAAAGTATAGTGACTTGCCCAACGTGTAACAACTAGAGTTAAGGGCTTACTAAACTGTTTAAGATCCATAATGGTAAGGATTATATTACTTAGGTCACCACTGTATCCCTTCATACCTAGCACGATGCGTGGGACATAGTAAAAGCTCAATAAATATTTATTAAAACGGAGAGTGAAAAGGAAGATAAAAGGCAAGAAAATCTCCCTTACAATATGACTGAACATTTCTCCCTAACTTCAATTCTCCAATTTCTAACAAAGATGAAAAAATTAAGCAGTGCCTTTAATATCACAACTATAAGAGAATAAATTATAGTCTATATTTTTAGCTTACTGGATAGTTTATTGTATTCTAATGCTTAAAAATTTCAAATTCACGTTACCAACTTTTAAACAAGCAGAATAGAAAATACTCCATTCGGAAGATTAGTGACATTTTCAAATTTAAGAAAATTAAGGAAAAGTACTTACCAAAAATTTCTCCACTTTTGGCATATTCTGTCACAAGATACATGTTTTTGGTCCCCATTACCTACTGATAAATAATTCCATATTAGTCTGACAGGAAAGAATTGCAATTTGCCACAATATTCAGGAGTTACTTACTTTAAAATTACTAATAAAAATGTCAAAGTTATGAACAATTCAGAAGCTGGCCAAGTTTACTAAAGACAGTATCTTTATGCTAACACTTTGGTGAAAAATCTAGATCCCTTGCTCTTTCAAGTATGGTCCATGGACCAGCATCAGCAGCACTGCCCAGGTGTCTGTTAGAAATGTAGGATCTCAGGCTCCACCCAGACCTACTGACACAGATCCACTTTTTTTTTTAATATATTTTATTGATTTTTTACAGAGAGGAAGGGAGAGGGATAGAGAGTTAGAAACATCAATGAGAGAGAAACATCGATCAGCTGCCTCCTGCACACTCCCTACTGGGTATGTGCCCACAACCAAGGTACATGCCCTTGACGGGAATCGAACCTGGGACCCTTGAGTCCGCAGGCCGACACTCCATCCACTGAGCCAAACCGGTTAGGGCCAGATCCACTTTTTAACAAACTCCCCAGGTAATTATTATGCACATTCAAGTTTGAAAAATGCTAACGTAGGTAACAGTTTTGAAGATTAAGTTTTTACCACCTCCTCACTGACTTTTGTAGCCCTGTGTTATATGGTATTCTCTGATCAAGGAAAGGAGAATAAAATACAGCTCAGTTATACCTGTAACCTAGCAAACCTGGCACAATGTGATATTCCTCCTACAATACTTTAATACTGTAACATAGTATTATTATTTTAAAACATTGCTCAAAAGCTCTTCATAACTCCACTGCTATATACATTTTTATTTAAATTAGTTTTTCTAGGTTCAGAAAAGCCTGTCATTGTCATAAACTTGATTTTTTCAAACTATACTGAACCAAAAGGAAATGAATTTATAGATTCAAAGGTGTGAGTTTTATATCGCTTCTCTGTAACTATCTGTAGAGAGCGCCTGGGAGAGCACCTGAGCAAAGGTGGTCGGCTGAGTCCAGGGCGTTGGCAAAACCACATCCTGGAAACATACCTGGCCAAAGGCAAGAATATTGTCAGTCCTGACCTATAGCTCAGCCAAGCCTGACAATTACGAGAAGCCACAAGAATGAAGAACTGCAGCTTGATCTTTAAGCATGATTTCACATAATTTCCTTTGTCTTAAACTCTAGTAAAACTTCCTGGTATTATGCTGTATATAATAAACTAGCTCTGGGTCACTGTCTCTCCATCCGAGAACAGTGTCCCACCTGGTCCCAGCTTTACTTACTGTCTCTGTGCCTGTCTCTTTTCCTCAATCCCCAATCGCCCCTACTCAGGACTCGTTCACTCTCTAGCCTTGCTGGTCACAGCTGAAGAATCCCCATAACTATCTACCGTTTTATAGACTGGCACATGCTAACAGCATAAAATTGAACTGCTATCTACTGAAAGGCTAAAGCAAATTTGCTCTAACATGTAGGAATAGGACTTCATAGGCCAGAAGACTAAAAGCTACCTACAATTTAGGTCTAAACAAATCAAACAGCAAATCATTTAGTTCAAATAAGCATAGAATTATCATGTGAAGCCTCATATTTTAACCACAGTTTGGCCTGGGTCCATTAGAGACTTCTAAGAATGTGATTATTTTCTTATAAGTATCCTCTTTAGAAATTTTTGTTTTTAAAGCAAAGGGAGAAATATTCTGGTATACATTTGACCTAAAAGGTCCTCTATAGTTTTAGAACTTCAGGAATTGTTTTGAGTGGCACACCACAGTCTCTCATTTTTAGCTACTGATAATGCTAATGGTCCCCACACCTCTTTAACTGCAAATTTCTACCAATAAAAAGTTGTTTTGCCAAATACAGATATGTATGTACATATGCATGTACATGTATATATACATAAAATCTGTATGTGTATTTATGAATATACTAGAGGCCCAATGCATGAAATTTGTGCAAGGGGCTTGGCCCTCCACCACCACCACGGCTGCCTCTGCCTCCGTGGTGCTGCGGCTTAGTCTGGAAGGTCGTCCAGAAGGTTGCCCAGTCTAATTAGCATATTATGCTTTTATTATTATAGACCCATAAAGAGATACAAATTACATACTCATGCCACTGTCTAAATACTTTAGGTACATTAGAAAATGCACACAAGAAGATAAATCTACAAAATACACATAATTAGAACTTCTGATATTATCTTAAACCCCAATGGATATTTATGCTAACCCATTTCACTGCACACAGTAGTGTGCTAAGCCCAGGTCTCTGAGGGGGAAAAAAAGTCCTGACTACTTCTGTGGTGTATATACTCCTACCATTGCTGATTTTGAGCTACTAACATGATATTAATTTGCAAAATTTCTGAAAATTTAACAATCAGCTCTCACTGGCCAGTACAGCTGAGCCTAGCATACTACTAAGTACACACATCATACTTGGGAGATCAAAGTCATAGTCCAGCATACTGTAACATTTTAGTTTGAAACTAGTTTTCCAATATAAAAAAATTCTACAAATTAATAAAAATATTATAAGCATTTGGTATTACATTACTATTCCTAAACGTGAATTACTATTTAAAAATCTGAGAAAAATTTTCCTTTTAAAAAACATAGCTTATACTTAAAATGGGTGCAGTTTCATTTTATGAAGAATTATATCTTCAGGTGTTTTTTAAAAATGGCTCATTGACTTTATCTGATAAAAAAAACCTAAACAAAATAAGATTTGGCTCTAGGTATCACCAAGTATGCCACTAACTAATAAACTATTTTCAGCCTTTGTATTTCATAAAACAGTAACAGTATATTTTTTTAAATAAGCAAAACTCCATTGTCTTCATTAATGGTGCCACCATCAAAATCCAACAGGTTTAAGCACACAATCACAAATGTACAACTATAAGCTTTTTAAATAAATAACTTACAGTCTGAGATACAACTCAATTAAGCTAGTTTTTACTCTCTTAATTTTTTATTTGAACACAGTGGGGCCTTGACCCTTCGAGTTTAATTCGTTCCGTGACGGAGCTCGTAACTCAAATTACTCGTATGTCAAATCAATTGTGAACGAGTGAGACACGTGATGCTGGGCTGATGTTGTGGCGTTCACTGTGATGTTAGCTGGGCCAACTAGCAGTGGGGTATCTGAAGCTGGCTAGTAACCCGAATTTTAGCTCACAACTCAAAGCAAAAAATCGACCGAGAGACGGCTCGTATCTTGAAAAACTCATTAGTCGGGACACTTGTAAGTCAAGGCCCCACTGTATAGAAAGATGGATGTACTCAGCTTAATAAAAGCATAACATTATCTTTTTTTTTTTCTGGTTTAGACAAACAAGTCTATATTTTCTTTATTTTTTGGGGGGGGTATTACAAAGGTTTACCTTTATTAATTTCTTTTTATTCCATTTTTTAATTGTTTTATTGCTTAAAGTATTATAAAGAGTATAACATTATCTTTTTATTTACATTGAAAAACTAACATAAAAGAGAAAAATGATGATGCAATATAGAGAACTGAATGTGAGAAGCATGGAGAGTTGTAAGGTTAAGTCATACCTGATAAAGTCTGATCATGTGAGGATGGTCTCACATTATCATTATTTGTGCTTCTCAGTAGGTTTTCTCAAGATTCACTGCATCCAGCTGAGATTTATCTATAATTATCGCCACCTGCATCCTATATAAAAATAAATACAATTAGTATAGAATGGTTAACATTTTCCAGTTAGAATCTTTTTTATTTTTATTGATTTTAGAGAGGAAGGGAGAGGGAGAGAGAGAAACATCAAAGATGAAAGAGAATCATAGATCGGCTGCCTTCTGCACACCCCCTACTAGGGATCAAGCCTGCAACCGCAACCCGGGCATATGCCCTTGACCAGAATAGAACCTGGGACCCTTCAGTCTGCAGGCTGACACTATCCACTGAGCCAAATCGGCTAGGGCTCCAATTAGAATCTTTTTAATAAATGACATCTGAGACTTTGCCTGTAGGTTTGTTCCTATGACAATGATGATAGCTAAATTAAATTCAATGCTCATTCATTCAACAAATATTTCTTAAACATCTACCACATGTAAGACAGTGTGGTAGATTTTGTTTGGGAGTGTCTTCAGTGTGCTATGAAGAATAACCCAGCAAAGTTACTTAAAACATATTTCTCTTTCAATCTGTCATAATTAAGTAGGAACCCAAACCACTCCAAGGTTGATAATTTGAAGGAGCGGAATTTGAAGATGAATAGCTAAGAAATCAGACGTCAACAATCATGTACTTTTCCAATGTAACCAAAAAAACCAAAAACCTATTTTTAAAAATTAGTAAATATTTGGTTAGGAAATAAGCCATTCTGACTTAAGTAAAATTTTCTGATAATTAGCACCCAAATGCAATTATAAGTTCTGAAAAAACTCTAAAATGTACTTCATAATTCTATGTACGTATTCTGAACATAATTCAGTTTTATGCTGTTTCAGGGTAATTTTTAATATCAGTTGTTAAAAATATGTATGTGCTATAACAGTGCAAGACCCTTAAAAGGTATCCAAGAAAATAGGTCTCAGCTTGTCAATTCCCTCACACTCCTGTTTATACAATGAGTTGTTCATTCTTTCCATCCAGCTACTCTGTCCTTTACTATTAATGCTACTGCAAGGTTTACTTCTTACCTTTCTACGTATTTCTAATTTACTGTCACAGCTTGTTTCCTGATTTGAATTACTTGTAACCCATACAAGAACTGAAGTTCCCAAGGGAAATCAGATTACTAAATTCCCCTTACCTCCTCCCTTCCACTCTCTCTAAAAATCAATGGGAAAAAAATATCCTTATTCCTCCAGTAAGGATTTAAAGAGCGGAAAAAAAGCTAGGAGTAGATTAAGCAATCTCACTATAGTCACATTATTTATCATTACAAATTTAATCTAAATTGCTAACAGAAATTTTTTTAAAATATATTTTTATTGATTTCAGAGAGGAAGGGAGAGGAAGGGGAGGGAAACATCAATGATGAGAATCATTGATTGGCCGCCTCCTGCACGCCCCCTACTGGGGAACGAGCCGGCAACCTGGGCATGCGTCCCAGATGGGAATCAGACCCGCAACCCCTCAGTCCACAGGACGAGGCTCTATCCACCGAGCCAAACCAGCTAGGGCCTAACAGAAATTTTAAGAGAGAAATCTGTGACTTTGGTCCTGATGCTAAAACTTGTCATATTTGGGTTACTTCAGGATCCATAGGGAGGGCAAAAAGTGACGAGGATGCAATGACATATACCCCTTTCTTTTTGGAAATGGACTCCATACGAAAACAAACAACAACATCAACAAAGCAAAAAACACAGTTAAGCCAACTTCTAAGAAAAATCACTCAGGTTTTCCAATGCCCTTTACCTTACACTGCCATTCTGAAAAATAAAAAGGTCCTATGTTATTCCATATTCAAACTCTAGTACATCCACCTTAATATGGGGAAACACTTAAAAGGATAGAAACTGGAAAAAACTAAACTGAAAAAAGGATGCGATTCCAGAACAATACCATAGGCAAAAACACCAGGTTTTATTCTCAAGAACAGTTCTGTTTCCACCGTTTTTTCTAACGTAATTTAATTTGCATGCCTTGAAATAGAGACCCTGAGGCAGACCCTGAGGCCGTAGGAGCCTGGAAGGAAGGGGACGGTTAGGTAAGAACGGAGACTTGTGAGGAAATGTGTGCGGTGCATTAGAATATGCAATGGGGGTGGGGGACGCGTGTTGAAGCAGCCGAGGCTTTACAAGTGCAGAGCGGTGTCCAGCGTCGCAGGGAACGCGTGTGCACAGCCAGGAGGCACACGTGGTAGAGCGACAGCCGGGGATAAGCAGGGCCCAGCCACCAACCGTCCAAATGCAGAGGTGACCATTGTCACCAGTTGCACTGTCTGGAGCAGCGGTTCTCAACCTGTGGGTCGCGACCCCTTTGGCGGCCCAACGACCTTTTCACAGGGGTCGCCTAAGACCATCCTGCATATCAGATATTTATATGACGATTCGTAACAGTAGCAACCTTACAGTTATGAAGTAGCAACAAAAATAATTTTATGGTTGGGTCACAACATGAGGAACTGTATTTAAAGGGCCCAGAAGGTTGAGAACCACTGGCTGGAGCGCTAGATCAAAGCCAGCCTGCCACCAAATCAGAGACACTGTCGGGCAACAGGAGGGAGAGATGACAGCGGCCATCCGGGCATTCTCGGCCACCGGGGTCCCTTCCTCGCGGGGCCGTGGGGGCGCCGAGGTCACGGGGACGCGCGATGCCCCGTCTCCGGAGTCCGAGCGCGGGCGTCCCCTCCTCGGGGCTGGCGGCGCCCCTCACCTCTGGACAAGGTTCCGCGAGGCCACCGCGGGTGGCGCAGGGAAGGCAAGGCCCCGGCTGGTCGGGTTTCCAATGGGACGACACTCGGTCCAAGTGACCCGGCCCCAACCCCGACCCCCTTGGCGCTCACCGACCGCCTGCACCTCCTGGGTCCTCAGTCCCAGGCCCACCTGCCTCAGCTGGTGACCCGGCCTCTGGGGTCTCCCCAGGCCCCGCTGCAGCCGCCCCTCTCGGAAAACAGCTCCTCTCCCGAACCCTCGCCTCAGACGCCGCCGCCGAGCCGGGCCGCACCTGCGTCTCGGTGAGCCGGTGCCGCCCCAGCTTCACCACGGCGAACTTGCCCTTGCCCAGCGTGCCCTCCATGCCCGGACCGGACCGGCTGCAAGTGCCTCGGGCCATCCGCCACGACCTGCGGGGCCCCGCGTCTCCACACGGCGAACTGGAGCGCGGGCGGCGCGGCTGAGCTCTGGCGACGGCCGCACGGCTCGCTTCTCCGCTGGGTGCCGCCAGTTCCGCCGGCCCCAGCCGAGCGCGCGCCGTCGCTTACGTACGTCGACGTCAGGGCTTGGGGGCGGGGCCTGGACTGGATTGGTCAGCGTGGAACAGCGCTGACTTGAGTAGCAGGAGGGAGGGAAGGAGAGAAGATGGGCGGGGCCTGGGCAGAGCTTTCCTTCCCGGCTCGGCGCTCTCAGCTCTCCGGCTGCCAGGGGCAGGGGTGCCCCTTGGGTCCCCAGTTCCTCAGCCTCCCAGAGGAAGGCCAAGAGCGAGTCCTGGAGGGCGGAGCGGAGGGGTGCCGGGACCTGGCCCGGGCCTGCGGTCTTCGACCCCAGCTCCCGGGTTCTCCGCCCACGCCGGCCCTTCCCGCCAAAAGCTCACCTGTGACTATGCTGTGTCCCACTTTTGGCTGGGGCAGGGAACTGTGGCTGGGCAATGCATTGCTCACAGGCTCGTTGTGTTTTGTTTTGTTTTTTGTTGTTTTGTTTTGTTTTCTCATTTGGTTACAAATCCGTTCACATTTTGATGTCTCCGAGGAGTTATTCTGACAGCGGCGTGGTTGCTTATAGATTAATAGAATGTTAGCGTTGAAGAGACCCTAGAGATCTCTTATTGCAGGGATCTGTAACCTCAACTGGACTTCTGAGCCTCAACCTCCCCCTAAAACGTATGCACATTTTTGCTTATTAGAGTTTGTCTCGGGCATTGGGACGATAGCTTTTATCAGATTCCCAAAAGTGTCGGTAACCCAGAAAAGATCAAGAAATCAAGCCCCAAGGAATGAAGGTAGCTTCCTAGGTCACTCAGGCAATGCTAGAGTTAGGGTTACAAATCACACCAGTCTTCCATATGCTGACCCAAGGAAAAGGTACAGTTATTTTAATACTAGAGGCCCGGTGCATGAAATTCATGCATGGAGGGGTAGTGTGTCCCTCAGCCTGGCCTGCACCCTCTCCAATCTGGGACCACTAGCTCCTAACTGCTTGCCTGCCTGCCTGATTGCCCCTAACCACTTCTGCCTGCCTGATCACCCCCTAACTGCTCCCCTGCCAGCCTGATCACCCCCTAACCACTCCCCTGCCAGCCCAATCGCCCACAACTGCCCTCCCTCGCCAGCCCAATCGCCCACAATTGCCCTCTGTTGTTGGCCTGATTGCCCCCAACTGCCATCCCCTGCCATGACCTGCCCCTTCTGCTGGGAACCGCCTCCTCCATGCCACGCAGAGCTGCAGGACCACCAGGTCTCACTGCGTGGAGCGGCCACCAGGCCCTGCCTCCGCTGTAACCACAGCCATCTTGTGGTGGCCATCTTGTTACAACATCATGCGAGGGCCTCACACGAGGGCGTGGGGCCACGTAGGCTTTTATTTTATAGGATTCCCCTCTTCCCAATATATTTCATTAGTTAATCATAATTATGGTAAATGTTCTAAAACGAAAGTACAGTGTGCTTTGAGATGATATAACATGGAATCCTGCTCTAGTCTGTAGCATGGGGGGTAAGAAATATTCCCAAGGAAGTATATTTAAGGTGAGAGCTGATAAGTCAGTGGGAATAGGCCAGGGGATGAGATGCGAGGAGAGCCTTATCAGTGAAAGTGAAAAGCTGTTTCAATATCTTGAGGTGGGAAGAATCAGGAAATGTTCCAACTGAACAGTAACAATGGAGGTACAAGGATGGGCTGAAGTGGTAATATGCTAGGACCGTATTACATAAGGTCCCAGATGTACTAAATCATAAAGTGCATTTTATCTCATTAGACTTGAAACGGGCAAAGTTGACTTATAACTGTTGTTGTTAGCCCGTAAGCATTAATAAGAATTATAGTATTATATGGATGTTTGATTCTATACAGTGAAATTTGAAAATTGAAAGATTTTATTTGTCTAAAATGTTTCTTCCCACAGCCTCCTACTTCTTTCCTACAAAGCCTTATTCCTTTGGATTAAATAAAGAAACATGACAGCCTTCCAAGAACCACTATAAAAATGCACTTTGGTTACCTGATGAGAATCCTTAGGCTTCATGATTGGGCTAATTAGGTATTTGCATAGGGAAAAGCATCAATGGATGCAATTGCAAGAAGGCAAGGAATAGCACAGAGACCTTTGACTGATGATAGGGAAAGGAGGCCAGGTAGCTAGGCACTGTAATGGAGATTTTGAATCTTGGTTTGTCCTGGTGCAACGATGGTCCCAGGAGATACCTGTTTCACAGTTTCCTCTAATGTCACACCTCCAGTTTTTGCCAAGATAGAGAATTACCAGGGAATGGCTGCTGACCCCAATATCAATCTTGGAGAAACTATATAGGAAAACCCTCATGAAACTGGGAAATAATGGGAAAGAAGAAAAACAAAACAGGGAAATCCCTGGGCTACACTGAAGCCTGTTTTGAACTGGTGTGTGTGTGTGTGTGTGTGTGTGTGTGTATTTAGTTCATGACTGTTTCATCACACATGTAGGTTTGTGTGTCACCAGCACAGTCAATATAGTGAACATATGGTGCTATGAGGTCCTCGTGCTTCCCACTCACCCCTGCCCTCAACTCCTGGAAACCACTAATGTATTCCCCATTTCTATCATTTTGCCATTTCAAAAACGTTGTATCAATGGAATCAGACAGTAAGTAACCTTTAGGGAATGACTCTTTTCACTCAGCATAATTCTCTGGCAATCCACCCAAGTTGTTGTGGTATGAGCAGTGGATTCTTTTTATGGCTGAGTGGTGTTCCATGGTATGGGTGCCCCACAGTGTGCTTATGGAAAGGGGTTTGTTTCCAGGTTTTTTGGCTCTTTCAAATAAAGGTGCAATGAACATTCCTGTACAGGTTTTTATGTGCGCATAAATTGTCATTTCTTTGGGATAAAGCTCAAGAGTGTACTTGCTAGGTCCTCTGGTTAGTTTTATAAGAAACTTATGAGTGCTTAGCTTTATAAGAAACTGCCAAACTATTGCAGTCGCTGTACCATTTTATATTCCCACCACAATGTACTGTGACCCACACCTGCATCCTCACCAGGGTTTGGTGTTGTCACTATACTTATCAATTCAGACTCATGTGTAAATGGCATTTCATTGTAGTTTTAATGTGAATTTCACAAAGGCTAGTGACATTGAACATCTTCGCACATTTACTTGTAATCTGTGTATCTTCAGTAAAATGTCAGCTAATGTCTCTATTTTCTAATACAGGTTTTTTTATTGTTGAGTTTGAGAGTTCTTTATACGTATCAATTCTTTGTAGAATTTGTGTTTTGCAAATCTTTTCTCCAGACTGTACCTTGTCTTTTAATCTTCTAAACAGGGTCTTTTGCAGAACAAATTTAGATAATTTTGATAAGTTTCAATTTCTCATCTTTTAATCTATGGATTGTGTTTTGGTATCAAATCTAAGAATTTTTTGCCCTAGATCCTGAAGATTTTCTCCTGTATTTTTTCCTAAAATGTTTATAGTTTTACTTTCTCCATTCAAATCTGTGATCCATTTGAGTTCACTTTTGTATACAATGTGTTATTTAGGTCCAGGTTCGAGGTTCACTTTTTGCCTATGGCTGTCCAGTTGCTCCCGCACCATTTGTTGAAAAGACTCTGCTTCCGCCAGTGAATTGCTTGTGCATCCTTGTCAAAAATCACTGGGGCATGTGAGGGTGGGTCTATTTCTGGATTCTCTATTCTGTTCCATTGAGATATACTACACTGTAATTATTAATGTTCTGCTACTACCACACTGCAAGTTTAAATGTTTTATTCGTTACATTTATAAAAGGGAATGGACACAGACACCCTTACTATGTTTATACTTATTATTTTGAAATAATTATAAGTTCACAAGAAGTTGCAAAAACAATAGAGAGGTCCTGTGTCTCCATAACCTCACCTTCTCCAGTGGAAGAGTAGGACTGTAGTGCATTATGAAACCAGGACTAAATAGATTACAGGCTTTATTAGGCTTTTCACCAGTTTTTGCATCTACTCATGTGAGATCATTTCATCAATGAGATATCAATTTTAATAATGTACAGTATTTAACCCAATATATCAAATACATAACCATTTCAGCATATATCAATATAAAAATTATTGATGAGATATTTTATATTTTTTTATTTGTACTAAATTTTCCAAACCTGGTGGTATTTTGCACTTCAGTTCTGTGTACTATTCTTCTATTATTTATTAAATATTTGTCTTTAAAATTTGAATCACTTATAAACTCACTTATATAAATTACTTCAGAAGTTATTGTATATCCCTGCCATCAGTGGAAAATCAATATGACTTGTCATAACTAAGACAAAACTATACAAATAAATAGAATATGGAAACATGATTAATTCCATTCTATCTAACTGTGGCATTCTGCCTAAGGCCTACTTTCTCTTCGTTAAAACAGGAGATTAGAAAGTGCAAAAAGTGTGCATATCATGTCTCTTTTGGTGTTAAAAGAAGAAATATTAATATATACAGAGGTGGGACAGAGAAAGATGCTACCTTTCCCTGAATGTAACTTTTTTGCTAGTTTTGACTCTGGAATGAGGTAATTTTTTCACATACTTTAAAGCAATTTATTTAAAAAGAAATAGAGGAAGCCCAGAGGTCAAAGTGGGACCATCCAGTTTGCAGCTCTGTGGAACCAAAAAAGACACACTCAGGGGGCAGACTCAGCGAGCACCAAAGCCCCATCAAAGCAAGTCTAGCCCCAGAGGGGTGTCTCCAGCACAGAAGTTCTCCCACTGAAGACACAGCTGATTCTCACAGCCAATTGGCCTGGAGGTCAATTCCTCACAGTGATAACTACAACAATCAAGGCTTAACTACAACAAGACTGTGCACAAAGCCCACAAGGGGGTGCACCAAGAGTGTCTACCTCAGGTAATTGGGATATTTAGCACAGAAAGGCACTCTATCGACACAGTGAAGCATAAAAAATGCCAAGACAAAGAAACAGGACACAAACGACAGAATTGGAGGAAAGCAAACTGCTGGATATAGAGTTCAAAACCACACTTTTA